CGTGGTTACCGTAATCCTTTTATACAGTGTAGACTGACCGTTGAAGTTTCCTACCATTTACACGGTAGTATAACACGGTGGTGTATTTAATTTACTTTTAATGAAGCTTTGGAAATCTGTCTTTTAATAATAGATATACGTTTAATCTGTGAGAGGATATATATATATAATATATATATATAAAGTGCTGGTCGTAATAATGCCTGTCACTGAGCTGCCGACATGTGATAGCTTGTTGTAATTTGTCTACTACTCGCACCAATTTACTAAGGTCCCACAGCGACGGCTGTACTTTGTCAGAAGATCTTTTAATTGAATATTTAGCGTTTTGTCAATTATACACGAGCCGATCGTTTTCAGACGCGATGAATTCCTTTAAAAAGAGTTATGAGTGGTAAACCACCTGCGTGTACGAGTCGTTGGGGGAAAGGCGAATGAATACGAGCCCACCGCAAGGTGAATCGCCGTGGCGATGATTAATGACTCCGGGGATTTGCGATTATTAAGATAAAATACAATTATAATTTGGGGTTTGTGGTGTTGTGTAAAATATAAGCGATTACGCCGACGGTCGTAGCATCTCATCGCTTAGATTCACACGACATCCCGTAGTGTGCCGTCATCTATATATGCACAGTGTTGAAGTTCTGGTCGTGGAAGCAAAAACTTAAATACAAGTATAATATTATGCGGAAAGTCCGAAGTCAAAGATAATTGTTGTATTGTTAATACATGTACATAAAACGGGTTATAAATTAAAAATTAGTACCTGACTGGTTTATGAATGATTAAATTGCCCTGATTAAAGTGGTTTAATGGTCCCTGGCGAGAGACCTGTGCTTGACAGGATGCGTTCATCGCTACGGAAAAGTCTACCCTATTCTGTAACGACGCGAGATGAATTCGCAAGAAAAACAAGAACAGATGAAGCGATACTGACAACGGTGGCATGCAGGTATGGACTGGATGGCTCACTTTACGGTGGTACGTGGCAAAGACATCTCTCGAAACAAGCTGAAATCTCTGTGGACAGATTGGCTTCGGAGCACGACTGAATTTTCTACATTCTTGCCATACGTTGAATCTGCTGCATCAGCAAGGAATGCACAGAAAGAACAAATATGTGTATCTTTAGGAAAAAT